CTATTATACGACATAGCCTCTCCCCCCCCCCCCCCCCCCCCACTTTAGACGCTTTTGTTGCACTATCTCGTACTGTACTACTAATAATAAGTATGTATAACGGCTCGGCTACTGATATATTTGTTTTCAACTTGATAATGTTAAAAAAAAACCTACCAAACTATTTTGTTTAGAACTTCTGCTCTATATATATGTTTACAATAGAAGATAATAATAAGTTGTATTTATAAGTAAGCGGTCAACCTAAGGTGCAGGAATTTAAAATGAATGTAAAATTAAGAAACGAATTATCTCCCATTTTGGTAATCCAAATTCCAAAGATTCATTCAAGGGAAATAACTTTCTCAAGAATCGCTAGATTAACCAAGTGTACCTAAGACATGCTTGAAAACAACCGTAAAACAATTTAAATTTCATTACGTAATAATTATACCAAATAGTTCATATTATTTTGTCAAAACAATATATTTTAATTATTAAATATGTAACTGTAGGTTTTGTTTGAAAGTTTAACACGGTAGCTTTATTATAACATACTTCTAGTCAATTTTGATGACATACGTGTAATCACCGCTTAACTCGAACCTTAAACTTTTAACGACATCTAGATTTTTATATAAAAAAAAATTTATTTAAAAAATAATTGGATCCCCTAAATTAAGGGACTGAAAATAAAAGTATTTCAAAAAAATAGTTAAGGGACTCCTTTCAAATAAATCAAGTACGGGTAGCTAATTAAGATATTGTTATAATTATTGTATATATTTAACAATATAAAAAAACTATAATCTATCTTCTATCTATCTATCTATATATATATATATATATATATATATATATATATATATATAAAGCAATGTACGTGTGTCTGTGTGTCTTTTATGCATTACTACACCTTTCATCCGATCGCCATGAATAATCCTGGGGAGGTTCCTGCGAAAAAATAATTTCAATTTCGCAGGGGTGGTGCCCCGGGAGGGTAAGATTGTTCTCTATATACGGTATATTAAGAAATAAAAGTAGGATGCAGTTAGACACCGTTCATGCAAGTGCTTGAAATTTCGGCGAGTAAATGAGAATACTCCCGAGAAGATTTCTACGAAAAAGAAATTAAAATTTATTATGGGCGGCGCCCGGGGGTGCAATTTTCGTCAATACACGATTTGGCGCCCAGAGTTCCAGAGCAGCTATGTTAGCACTAGACATCCGTTAATCGGGCGTACTGCATAGTGGGTAAGGGATACTACTATATTTAGCGGTAAAACTGCAACAATCGCAACCGCTGGCGCCCCGTCTATTGCGCGACCCGAAGCACCACGGCCTCCCCTACGAGCACTATGGCGCCTACGTTCGTTATTTTTAAAAAAAGCTATACACTAAAGACACAATGGGCGACAATAATCGTTGACTATATCGAACCAGGCGCGTCCCCCGGCGCCCCTGCAGGTTTTGATTTTGGCGCTCTGGGCTTTCCCGTCAGCGCAATGGCGCCTACGTTCGTTCTAAACAGTGCAATAGACAATGGATCAGATGGGGCGTTATAATCGCTCACTAAATTGAATCAGGCGTGTTCGCCGGAGCCCCGGCAGGATGCAATTTGGCGCCACGGGCTATCCCGTGAGCGCTATGGCGCTTAAGTTAGTCAAAACAGTGCATAGGACTATGGATAAGATGAGGCGTTATGGTCATTCGCCAAATTGAATCAGTACGCGGCGCCCCTTGCGGTAATGTAATCGGGGGCTCCCAAGAGCGCCCACCTACGTCCCTGACACCTAGGCGGTCACCAATGTGTGTTCTACCTCACTATTAGGCTTTCATGCGGTAGTGTAGGTAAACCCGTGCCCCGATAAATATGATCAAAGCGCAGACATAAATAACTCTGTTTTAGATAACCATGTCACACGTCTAAGTAACGCATGATGAAACCCTCATAAAATATTACGTTATACTTTCTGAAACGTAATCGTTATTAGTTTTTAGGTACTTTTTGATCATAGCCAGTGCACATTTTTACGCCCCCCAGGTGACCGTCTAGTTCGCCATATAGATAGCGCCGACCCTGGGTTCAATGTTAGGTTGAGTAAAATTCAAGATTCAATATTACGATGCAATTGGTGTTTTGTTAGACTACATTGTTCATCTTACTGATAGCTGTGGTTTACAAAAATATTATCTTAGGTCACAATTCGGGGGGGGGGGGGGGAGAAGAGTGTTCCAATCTCAATTCTGACCCACTTGTAAAAGAGATTTCGCTCCAGCTTTTTCAAATTAATTAAACTCCAATGAAATAGCTCTGTATTTTGCTAACACCGATAATATTTTTTATGCTCTGTATTTTGTGAAATGCCCTGACAAAGCTCTGTATTTCGTATGTTTTGTTGCAGCAAGACGAGACGACCCCGTTCAACAACGTCCTGATCGAGCCCTATGGCAGGAGCGACAACATGTCCGGTAGAGAGGCCACACTCCTGGACACGTGCCACTCTCTGGAGGGCGCCGGACTTCCGGTGGAAACGTTCATGACGGAATTCGCCGCCGCGCAGTTTGAGCTGACTTTTCGACCGGAAGAAGGCGTGGCCTCCGCCGACACGATCATGGTGATGAAAGATGGCGTCAAGTCGAATTTACGGCGGAATGGAATGATGCCCACATACATGGCCTGCCCCTTGGAGAGTGGCCACGCCAACGGGTTCCATTTGAATCATTCTCTGTGGACGGCAGACGGGGCCAACGCTTTTATCGACGTCACTGATCCGATTAACTTGTCTGAGTTAGCGCGTCATTGGATCGCTGGATTAGTCCACCACGCGCCTGCGTTAACTGCCCTTCTCTGCCCGACAGTGAACTGTTACCGACGCCTGGCAGATGTTCTCTGCCCTCAATCTGCCACATGGGGAGAAGAAAACAGACGAGCTTTTCTCCGATTAAAAACGGAGAGGAAAAATGTGTACCTCGAAAACCGGCTGCCCAGCAGTGCTTCGAACCCGTACCTCGACCTAGCGGCGACACTGGCAGCCGGCATGGACGGCCTAGCCAGGAAACTGACTTGTCCGGTTCAAATAGACCCTGAAGCCCCGCCTATTCATAAATCTATAGACGCTGCGGTCAGTGCTCTAGAACAGGATGAAGTGCTGACACAAGCGCTGGGCGAGGATTTGGTGAAAGGCTTCATCAACATCTCCAAAAAGGCCATGAAAGCTAGAGACATGGGACATAGCTCTCACCAGTTTCACAGGAGCGTATATTTCCACGCTCTTTAAATACAGATACATTTATTTTTAAAGTAGGTTCAGAGAAGAAACCATAACAGAAGAACATAGGATAAGTAAATTAGTATTTTTTTTAATGTCCTTTATTTTCAAATAGAAATAATTACATCAGCATATACAAATGTGTGTGTGTGTGCGTTAGTCTGTAGCATAATTTAAATATTTACAAAAATTATCATTACATGAACACAATGGTGAACATTTAGAAAAAAGGATTTGTGGATCAACAATTCAAATAAAGGTAATTAGAAATCTTGTGTGTGTGCTTAGTATTTAACATAGTTCAAACATTAACAAAAATTATCATTACATGAACTAAATGGTAGACATTTCTAAAGGAAACAAGTTTAATAAAAAGTAAGTTAGTAATAATAATTTTTTTTTTTTTTTTTTTTTTTTTTTTTTTTTAGTCCAGTTAGTAATAATAAGATGCATAAGTATTGAAAATTGAATTGGCAGTGTTTTATTACTTGAACAAAACTTATTTTATCAGTAGATAAGGTTACAAATTTTCAGGTATTTATAGTTCTTTTGGAGCCTAATTAAAAATGTTTTGTACATAGTTTGTAAACTTTTATTCTAGTACTTTAAACAAATGTAATTAACACTACTTTATAAAATATTTTACACAACCACAACACGAAATTTCTAGTTTTAAGCTGATACTTTCCTCAATTATTTGGTTCATGCTCATATGTTTGAATTATCTCCCCTTTTGTACATAAAACAAGTCAAGTGGGGCCCGATGTTTACAAATAAGACGGATACATGTGAATCAAACATGTTTTCAGTGATGACAAATATAAGGCCGCGAGACAGAAGCCTTAAACCCGAATAACTTTTGCTCCTAACATTTCTAATGCTTTGAATTTCTTAACTTATGCTGCGTATCAAAGATTAAAATATTACTCAAGACATAAGCAGACGTGTTGTTTTATAAATATCCTGGTTTGTTTTGATGTGTTGTCTTGTATTGTTACAATGCCGTCATAAATTTTCTAAACAATACATTTTTAACACTACTAGAAGCGGACCTCTAATCCTAAGACTGGCGCTTCACCAGTAGTTTTATACAGGCCTGTAATATATAGCGTGAACACGTCTTTTTTGCGCAACTCCCCCGCCCCCCTCCCTTTCAAAATCGCATATGCATACGCATGCACACACAGGTTGCGTTGAATATTTATACGGACAACCCGCCAATGAATCGGTTCCACCTGTCAAATGACGCGCGCCTTAGATGAGACTACTATCAGATAACCCGTACCATGATGACCCACACTTCAGATCAGAGGCGTGGGGGGGGGGGGGGGGCGGGGGGACATATGTCCCCGGGCGCCGACCTTAGGGGGCGCCAAACTGGGTTGGAAAAATAAATTGAAATCTTGAGGGGGGTGCAAATCGAAATCTTGAGCGGGGGGGGGGTGCAAATCGAAAGTTTGTCCCCGGCGCCGGGAAGGGTCGCTACGCCTCTGCTTCAGATGACCTACTCTCAGATGACCCACTCTTCAGATGACCCACTCTCCAGATGACCCACTCTCAGATTACCCATCCTCCAGATGACCCACTCTCCAGATGACCCACTCTCCAGATGACCCACTCTCAGATTACCCATCCTCCAGATGACCCACTCTCCAGATGACCCACTCTCCAGATGACCCACTCTCCAGATGACCCACTCTCCAGATGACCCACTCTCCAGATGACCCACTCTCCAGATGACCCACTCTCCAGATGACCCACTCTCCAGATGACCCACTCTCCAGATGACCCACTCTCCAGATGACCCACTCTCCAGATGACCCACTCTCCAGATGACCCACTCTCCAGATGACCCACTCTTCAGATGACGTGAAAGTTCAACAAACTGATGACCAGTTATCCTACAATAGTTTTTTTTTTTTTTATTATTCCCAGTTTGTGATGGGGAATTAACACAAAGTACGCTCAATGTTCCACAATTTATTGCTGGTTATTTCCCTTGAAAATGCCAAAGACCGTTACCTCGAAATAAAATGCCCCTCTATTAAGGTGTCAAGCTGGTTTTAGACTGGCGAGTCTGCTATTACCCTGTCGTTTATTGTTTAGCTGTTGGCGTAAGGTACGTGGGAACGAACATCAGAAGATGTTTATTCATGTAGGGTTAAGCCGTTAAAATATTGCCGATACTTTATCATTAGCGGCACTGCTGCCCCCCCCCCCCTCCCACTCACACACCCACACACCAACAAATAGAAGAGAAAAAAATTAAATAGTAAATTAAGAAAAAATTATTTTAATTTTAACTATACTAATGAATCCCTCCCCCCGCCCCGAGCAAAATGTCTGAAAAAAACCCTTGTTTATCTTACATGTAGCAATATACGCAGGGACATTCAGCTTTAGTTCAGATTTAAAACATTATTTTGCAGTAGCGAAATTGAGAGCCACTAGTAACACTAGTAACAGAAATAAAAATATCTGTTTACAAAGTTAGTTGGAGCTGCATCAGAGGCGTAGCGACACTTCCCGGCGCCCGGGGACAAACTTTCGATTTGCATCCCCCCCCCCCCTCAAACTATCGATTTACACCCCCCCCCCCCCCTCGAATTTCGATTACTTTTTCCAACACATTTTGGCGCCCCCTAAGCTCGGCGCCCGGGGACATATGTCCCCCCCTGCCCCCATCGCTACGCCTCTGAGTTGCATACATCACTGTGTGTTTGTTCACGGGAATTAGCCTAACCCACCTCTTGCTAGGCATAGTGCTGACCACACTATCCCCCTGTATGCCGAGGTCATTGAAACAGATGAACTCTACTTCATCTGCCCTTTCTGTCTTGAGAACGAGAAAAGATGATACCATCTTGTATTACGAGTAAGGACACTATATCCCTGTACCTAGCCGCATACTTAACCCTAGCTTGGACTAGAAAGGGTTAAGTAAGGCCAATCCCTCTATAAGAATAAGCAGCCATGTTTAGTCGATGAGCACTCATCCATTTGTTTTTCGAACAGAATTCCGTGATATCAATCGCTGCCGTCATAGAGAGTGCCATTACCATACGGCGCTGGTTGCAGACGTGGAAACTGGAACCGCTCATCTGGAGTAGTGAGTCATGATGTGGCTAGCCAACTCGGTTCTCCTGCATAGAAAGTGGTCATTAGATTTTTAAGGGAACGCACTCTGATCAGGGGACGTCAGTCTGACCGTTGGAGGGAATTTGTCATTATGAGAGCTTTACTGAAATAGTGGGAGGGGATACATGCAGACTTTTTTTAGAGAACGGGAGAGGTAAAAATCTGGGGGGGGGGGGGGGGGGGGGAATCTGCTTTACTTGATACAGTCAAATTAAGATTGGGTGGTGCTGGTTATTGTATATTGTTGAGAAGACTAAAAGATGCAGTATAGTCTTGGTAGTTATTTATTTTCAACTACGTTATCTTGTTTATTGTGTCTAGTATTTTACGTTAAAACTTGTTCTATGTTATTTTATGTGTCGCTTTATTGTCTGTGTGCGATGTTTGCTGATATATATATATATATATATATATATATATATATATATATATATATATATATATATATATATATATATATATATATATATATAAATTTTCCAAAAGGGGTAGGGGAAGTAGGCTCTGGTTAAAATGTATATTTCCTATACAAATTATATATTTTTCATTTTCTTTGTCCTGGTGGGGGATGGGGGGGGGGTGTGGATGTGCTAAGAGGATTTGGGGGGGGGGCGTAGCGATGCATGAAAGCAATTTTGTGGACATGACAGCAACAGATCGTTTTGTGTACACATACACACCCACATGTGTACACATACACACCCACATGTGTACACATACACACCCACATGTGTACACATACACACCCACATGTGTATACATACACACCCACATGTGTACACATACACACCCACATGTGTATACAACCACACCCACATGTGTTTACAACCACACCCACATGTGTACACATACACACACGTGTGTATACAACCACACCCACATGTGTACACATACACACCCACGTGTGTATATAACCACACCACATGTGTACACATACACACCCACATGTGTACACATACACACCCACATGTGTATACATACACACCCACATGTGTACACATAAACACCCACATGTGTATACAACCACACCCACATGTGTACACATACACACCCACATGTGTAGACATACACACCCACATGTGTATACAACCACACCCACATGTGTATACAACCACACCCACATGTGTACACATACACACCCACGTGTGTATATAACCACACCACATGTGTACACATACACACCCACATGTGTACACATACACACCCACATGTGTATACAACCACACCCACATGTGTACACATACACACCCACATGTGTAGACATACACACCCACATGTGTATACAACCACACCCACATGTGTATACAACCACACCCACATGTGTACACATACACACCCACGTGTGTATATAACCACACCACATGTGTACACATACACACCCACATGTGTACACATACACACCCACATGTGTATACAACCACACCCACATGTGTACACATACACACCCACATGTGTACACATACACACCCACATGTGTATACAACCACACCCACATGTGTATATAACCACACCCACATATGTACACATACACACCCACGTGTGTATATAACCACACCACATGTGTACACATACACACCCACGTGTGTATATAACCACACCACATGTGTACACATATACACCCACGTGTATATAACCACACCCACATGTGTACACATATACACCCACGTGTGTACACATACACACCCACATGTGTATACAACCACACCCACATGTGTACACATACACACCCACATGTGTAGACATACACACCCACATGTGTATACAACCACACCCACATGTGTATACAACCACACCCACATGTGTACACATACACACCCACGTGTGTATATAACCACACCACATGTGTACACATACACACCCACATGTGTATATAACCACACCCACATGTGTATACAACCACACCCACATGTGTATACAACCACACCCACATATGTACACATACACACCCACGTGTGTATATAACCACACCACATGTGTACACATACACACCCACATGTGTATATAACCACACCACATGTGTACACATATACACCCACGTGTATATAACCACACCCACATGTGTACACATACATACCCACGTACCGGATGCAACACGACATGTATCCTGCTAATGAGACACAAAAGTAAACTAGCAAATACCAAGACACCTGGAGACGACGTAGGATATAAACAAGTTAAAAAAATACTACCACTAATCAACAGAGGCGTAGCAAGGGGAAGGCGGGTGGTGGAACGGCCTCCCCCTGGCGCCAGCCTTAAGAGTGGGGGCGCCAAACGGGGTAGAAAAAAATTATATAAAGCACATTCTGATCTGCATTACTGAATTATCCAGTCGAGGTTTAAGAAAAAGGACTGCTTCTTGACTGAACGGACTTCTTTAACTTTAACTGTTTTCTACATAACATGTGAGACACCATAATAAAACGGTAAAGTGATTGCTAAAAGCGCCCCGGCCGTTCCAAATTGGAAGGGGGGGGGCTTTTTACCAGCGTGAATATCTATATATTTAAATGGGCGGGTGTAATCGGTCGCTACGCCTCTGTAAATCAAACATCTAGCTCTATCTTAGTATCTGCCATGTACCACCTTTGGTCTTCTCCTGCCTCCCCGTCCCCAATACAAACGTGACCCTAACAGACAACAAGCAACAAGGGAAATAACCAGGAATTATCCTGTCAGAATAAGCTGCCCTTTGTACGAAATTACCCAAGTGGGTCGACGAACCAAAATTGGTGTAGTGTGTTAGCTGGTTAGGAAAAAAAAATGGGACTGTATTTGGTGTAGTGTAGCTGGTTAGGAAAAAAATGAAACTGTATTTGTGGCAAGTGATTGCAACACAGGAGTAACAGTTGAGTACAGGCGCTGGTTTTTATCTTTCATTGAAGAGAGGTAAGTAACAAACAAATAATACCGCATTGCAGTTACAAATTGGTAGAATACCATCTATTAGTTAAGTTATATATACACATATAATGTAACTGTATTGCTAGTTTCAGCATAGTGTAGTGGATGCTAGAAGACTAAGACTGCTTAGCACTAATTAACCAGTGGTTTCTTTCAGGCGTTTCCACTTTGGTGAAGGGGTGGGGGGGCGCTTGTCCACGAGAAGGCGTGTTCCAAGGGGTCATTGCCCCGGAGAGATGCCTGAAAGAAACACTGTCACTAAACATAAGCATTAGTAGATCTATTTATATCTACGAGTGTATGGAGCGATTCAAACCTCAGGTCTTAAATATTCATAAACAAAGAACATGATTAGGCTAGCGATACCGCAGTAAATAAAATTACAGTGGCCTTATACTGCTACACAAAGATACCGAAGGGGCTTATGCCATTATATGTAGGTATTGTTTATATTTATAATTGGTTTTATCAGCTATTTGAAGGCTCAGTTTAATTTAAACTGTTACATTTCTTAATCTTATCGTGTATATCAGGGGTCTCCAAACTTTTCAGCCCGAGGGCCGCATTAACTATCAAATATCAGTTCGGGGGCCAGAGTTTCTTCCAATCATCTCTTTGGGGTGGCGGAGTCCCCCCCCCCCTTCCCCCCAATCGGAATATAATTTATATAGAAATATATACACATTTAAAAAGTCTGAAAGAACCACAGTCGGGGTCAACAATAGAGTTCAAAGTTTGTTCTCCTTGGACAAACACAAAAACCCACCCGCCATTTTACGGACTTGTCTCCAGTAGCGTAGCGAGGGGGTGGGCGGGGGGGACATATGTCCCCGGGCGCCGACCTAAGGGGGGGCGCCAAATTGAAAGTTTGAGGGGGGGGGGGTGCAAATGAAAAGTTCGAGGGGGGGTGCAAATCGAAAATTTGCTCCCAAGGGGGCGCCAAATTGTAAGTATGTCCCCGGGCGCCGGGAAGGGTCGCTACGCCTCTGTTTGTCTCTAAGGAAGTCATTTGCTAGCAATTCAATGACCTCCATCTGCAATTCATCTGAACAACTGTTTACATTTGCTTCAAATGGGGTTTGAAACAGTCTCACTTCTTCTGCCTTTGAATCCTATTCAGAAAACCGCTACTGAAACTGCAGCTGTAGGTCTTTGATGATCTCGCATGCAAATGATGTGGGGAACTCAGCTGTTGCTTCAGCCATGAAGACCTTGCACTGCTGAAAATGCATCAAGTTGTTGCCCTGTACTTCGGCCCGCGGGCCGTAGTTTGGAGACCCCTGGAGTATATAATCATTTTATTCCTTATATGATTTTGCCTCATCTGCTGTCATTTATAGAACCATTTTATTTATATTTTGATTTCTCATGTGTCTAATGTTTTCTCATCTGGGTATTGATTTTTTTAGTCTGATTAGGTGTTTAGTTCATATTTTCCATTAACCTTAAATGTATTAAATGATTTTTTAAATTAGATTTTAGTGGGTTTTTTTTTTTTAAAGTTAGTTCCATTTTTCTATTTCAATAAAGTTATGATTAGTTGATGATATTTTGTTTTTTTATTTAGATTAAGGTTAGGAGTTTAACCACTGTGGGTTATCCACACTTGCACTGATAGCATGTAGATTAAGTTACCCTCCCCCCCCCCCCCGACCTACATATAGCTGCACATTATCAGCGAGGAAATATTATGTTCTGTAGTTAGTGGTAATTCAGTGACCCTGCTGCACTAGTTAGGGTTGACACTGTGTGCCTAATTTTGTTTTTAGATGTGTGATAAGAAAATGTTTGTGGTTGAAAACTGTAACAATGTTTATGAGGTCAAACATACGTTATTGTTTTCTTCTGATGTCCTCTAATAATTTGGCTTGATTTTTTTTTACGGTTCTTTCTTATCCACGTCTAATTCATCGAGAACAAATTATTCAAAACAAGCATAAACTCTAGGCAAGGCTTCTCTTAGAAATCCCCCATCCTCAATAGAGAAGAAAATCCGTTAGTGTCCACAATCTTCTACCGTGGAACTTCTAGATTTCAATGTTACGAGCCGACCCGCTGCGTATCATACGTCGCTATTTAGTTGTTGTTTTTTCTACTTTTCAGTAATTCATAATTTGTGAATTCGACAGTACCAATACTGCCACTGAAAATATTTGCTTAAAAACACTAAAACCCCCTCCTTCCCCCCCCCCCCCCCCCCACGTGAAAGCAGCCTCCTCTTACTTACCTCCTCTAAGTTTAAAATCGTTTCAAACTAAATTATCTGCCCCTAATAGCCGTCACCAAACCCGTCTCTATGATTGTAAAATGTAAACAGCGTGAACCACAGCTCACCAGACCATGTGAGGGGGTGGGAGGTGGGTGGTAGCGATAGAGAGGAAGAGAGGGGACTGTAAGGCGTGCTTGCAGCTTGTTTTCTAACGGCTCACAGAAGAGAATTATATATATAGATAACTCGTGTGAAACTTTTGGCATGAGAGTAACATCCCCTACACCAACTTGACCCTGACAAACCACATAGAACCTATTGAGTAAGCAGCGAGAAAAAAATTCCCAAACAATAGTTCTTCTGTTATCTTTAACGCTAGTTGACTAGTAAACCGGTTTCGTGATTTCCAAGACAGTTTGCGATTTCACGCTAAAGACGTTCTGTTTACTTTGCACAAAAGCTTGCCTTCCTCCTAAGGAATAAAAAAAAAGTTATTTTGGCTGAGAGCCCGAGGCTTATTTAAATACACCAGAGTTTCCTCCAGGCATCTCTTGGGGGGCTCCGCCCCTTCCCCCCCCCCCCCCCCCCTCCCCGAAGAAAAAAGCCTGGAAGAAACACTGAAATACACCCATTAGGCTTTAAACTTTAGCCTATTCATTCATTTTTTAAAAAAACTATTTTGTTACTTTATGAAATTTCTACTCTTCAGTTCCTAGATTCATTCTCTGAGCCCGTTGAACTATTTAATAAAAATCTAAGCTCCAAATGTACACACAAATATCTAGAAAACAGCAGTGGTTCGTGTTACACGGCGTGTTCAGTCCCCTGCTGCTACTGCCCGTCTAGATACATTGATTCTTGTAGAATATGGGACATACCAGTTACCGAAATCAGAGACAAACAAAACTTGACATTACCTGTATGACCACACAACAACGTCAGGGTGTGTAGTATTATCGACGCTATCGCTGTGCTGTGCTAAACGTGAGCACGGAGATTAACGTGTCTCTTATGCAGTGTTGACACGGGATCAGCTGCACACGTGTGTTAAACAAAATAGACTAGGCCTGCATGCAGTCTTAACATATTTAAAATCAAACTGTAAGTTGTCACTTCATTACGTAACATAGACCTACATACCCTGTGACTATCACTCTATTTTGAAGTTATATTTTTTAAAATTATCATAAATTTGTGTAAACAGACACACAACCACCTATTGAGATCAAGTCTTAAATTGTTTTAATTAGTGTGTTAATTAATAGCTCAAAGTATCCTACAGACACGGACCGCCGTCTCCTGATTAAATTTTAATTAAAGTGACGTCAGATAGTGTAGGCGATTAGGGCTGACTAAAAGGAAATCATTCATAGTTTCCAGGTGAATACTTTATTGCATTCAGTAAAGAAAAAAGAATCCTCTATAGACCTAACGATCCATAGGATCAGATGATGTAGAGTTCCTATGTTTTCCTAACATGAGTTAGAAACCCAACAGAGCTGGGTGAACTCAGGGACGTTCTACTGACTTGGACCCGGATTCCAACTTGAGACTTTCGGGTTAGCAGTCTACCGTTTAGGGCACGCCGCCCCATATTGCATTCAGTAGTCTAGTGTTGAGTTTCTCGTTATGTTGTGGCTTACTCCGTGCTAAGACTGGCACGCAGAGTTTCTTCCAGGCATCTCTTCCCCCCCCCCCCCCCCCGAACGAAATTAAATTTATATAATTTTTATAGAAAATATATACTTTTAACAGTGTCCGCCACCCCGAAGAAAGTCTACCCCCCCCCCCCCCCCCCCGAAAATTTCAAGTGCCCCCCCCCCCCCGGAGAATAAAGACTGGAAGAAACACTGCTGGCACGCACGTCATAGTTGTACAGTTACAGAATAGAAGACCAACCCATGTCAAATTTATATAATTTATTTGTATTAAACGTTGTATCTATTACTGGGTTTGTTGGGTAATACCTCAGTGAGAGGGCGTAAAGCTGGTTTTACGGTGTTCACTATTTTAAAATGAAAAGCTATCAATGTGACACGACGCGCCGTCGCCAACAGCTGTAACTTAAAGTGAAATAAGTGTCATGTTGGGAATCCATGGGTGGGGGTCTAGCCCCACGAACACCCGACTAGCGACGCCACTTGTAAGAGGGGTCAAATACTTTGGTATCCTTACTGATTACTGCTCGGCCGGTTGGTCACCGTTCCGATCTTGCATGTGGGACATATTTAGAAAAAGGTCAGCAGGTCAACTATATATCAGTTGATGTTGGGATCTATCGATGTGACACATTTTCAACCTGAAAAAGTTTAAAACCTTACCAACAACAGCCTATGTGTAGGTAATTGAATTATTTCTATTAGCCTACATACCAAACAAAAAAATACATGTGTTTGACTTCTAAACAAAGCCGAGTTTCTTCCAAGCATCTCTTCGGGGGGTGGTGGGAGGGAAAGGTTAAAACGTCTACCCCTTCCCCCCCCCCCCCCCCAACAAAGAAAGAAACACTGAAACATAGACCTTAATAATAAGTTACCTTGTAATAACATGTATTAAAAGCAAGGGACCGAACACGGTCAAGTGCTTTACCTGTGCTGAGAGTTCGACAGGCAAACTGTCATATATTTTTATACAATGACTGTGCAGAACCTCGTCCCTGGGCCTGTATTAGGTAAGGTCCCATGTACTCAGTGCGAGCGTGTCAAACAGTTTCTTGTGTAAAGCCGTATTTTAAGTGTTTGGTTTAATTTGGTTTGAAATAGACCATAGTTCAAAACATTCGTCTGTGTAGGAAACTATTTTTTTTTAATTTACTTTATTATTTATTATATATTAAGTATCCAACTTGATACCACCCAGTTCAACGGCACCAATAAATTGACAACATCAGCGCGAATGAAAAGTCACATTGACATAGTAGTACTACGACTGTAATTTTAAAAGACCCTTAAAAGTCTAACGTCCGAGGCACTTCCTTACAAAACAGCGCCAGATGAATTTAAAAGAATCTGCCATTGGCCTAAATGCTAATCCTATTTTAACTACGGTAGTCGGTATAATTAAAACTTAAGCCTATTTTTTTATGTAGATCGATCTAGCGTAGTCCTAGAGTCTAGAATCTAGATCTCTATATTTTTATCTAAACTAGAATCCGGTGCCCACGGAATGTCTACAAAAAAATCGCCAGTCGTAGAGGTGGTGGAAACACCTTTTTACGAGACAGAGAAACGTTTTGAAGCGGATGGCATCAATGGCTACGACTCGGTGTTGTTTACTGTGTGCGACATCTTCGGCAGACCCAGGGGAAAGTTCGCTGTGGGCCGGGGAATCCAGAGATTTGTAAAGGAAGGCATGGAAATGCCGCACAGTAAGTTATTTTTTACTGTCACATAAAGCGATATTCAATAGGCATGTGCTTAAAATCCCTTAAATTGTGACGAATATTTGTTTTAAATCAATATTTTATTTGTTTAAATAGATATTTTGAGTCACCGTTTGACCTTTGTTATTATGCTGCTAAAAGTCTCTCTATACTCAATACTGTAATAATCTATACTGATCATTTTCTGTTTTTGATATCAAAATTTAATATTTCACTCCCGCCCCCTGGGTCTATCAGCTGCGTGATGTGGATGGGGGTGATACATGGGCAACATCTGGCTCTTCTCATCTCACAGCCCAGGCTGTATTTTTGGGTTTTCGTTTCCAAGGCGAAATCAACCAATGGTCTATTATTAGTAGACTATGGAGCCGTGTTAATGTTATTTATATTTTAAAAGATTTATTCAGATACCGCCCAGTTTTTTCAGTTTAGCATGTTGTAGAAATAATCCAATCCTTGTTTTAAAATATAAAAATTCTGTATTTGATTATTTTTATTGATAGGATGAAATTGAGCAGATTAGGTATAGGCCCTACCTACAATTAAGGTCTTTATCTATGTAATGTTTGGGCTAGTGCTCATGTTTGTGGTATCTCTAGAAATTTCTGAAAACACCAAAATAAAAGGAAAATGCTCCATCATTAATTATATTTAAATTACAAACAATCCAGATCTTTACTATATTTATAAAACAACAAAACTTGAACCTATTCAGTAGTGGCATCATGAAACAAATGAAAATATGAAACTAAACATTTTTTTTCTGTTTTTGATAGATGATTTTATTTATCTTCTAAATAAATATTATTTGAACACATGCATGACAAGTTACTTTAAACTTAGATCACTTATATTTTGTCTTGATATTTTTTTTGTTACACCCACCTGTGTAGAAGTAAACTTAGATCACTCAACATTGTCTGGGTATTTTTTGTTGTTGTTATAATGTTAATCCCACCTGTGTAAGTGTAAACTTAGATCACTCATATATTGTCTGGGTATTTATTTTGTTACAGCCACCTGTGTGGGTGTAAACTTAGATCACTCATATATTGTCTGGGTATTTTGTTGTTACACCCACCTGTGAAGGTGGAAACTTAGATCACTCATATTATCTTGGTATTTTTTTGTTACACCCACCTGTGTATGTGTAAACTTAGATCACTCATACATTGTCTGGGTATTTTTTTGTTACACCCACCTGTGTAAGTGTAAACTTAGATCACTCATATATTGTCTGGGTATTTTGTTGTTACCCCCCACCTGTGTAGGTGTAAACTTAGATCACTCATATATTGTCTGGGTATTTTTTCGTTACAGCCACCTGTCTAGTTGTAAACTTAGATCACTCATATACTGTCTGGGTATTTTGTTGTTACATCCACCTGTGTAGGTGTAAACTTAGATCACTCATATATTGTCTTGATATTTTTTTTTGTTACAGCCACTTGTGTTTTGGGCTTCAACTCAGAACCACCAAAAACAATCCCCAAATACAGCCAGGGAAAGTCTACAATATGGCGCATGTTCCCTGACCTGTCCACACTGAGACGGCTGAGCTGGCTTTGTAAAGATGGAAAAAAGGTGAAACTATTTTAATTTTCACATCAACGCTAAGTTATGGGATGGTGTGGTTGGATGGTAGGGCATACGGTGTAAACCCAAAGGTCCCAAGTTTGGAACCCAGGGCTGAGTCCACCCATGTCTTATGGGTAACTTACATTAGATAAAGTAGAACCATCTAATCATAGTGCTGACCACAACTCCTTCATATGATGAATTCACAGAAGTATGTGAACTCTACTTATTACTACTTAACCTGACCCATGTTCAAAAGTGTAACTTTATCCTGAGTGAGTCAATGATGCTCAACACAAACACAATTTAACAGGTGTATTATAATTCAGGTGGGCCAAGTACTGTGTGACCTTTACGACTCCAACGGTGACCCTGAGATGTACTCACCAAGAGAAATTGCTAAAAGACAGATAGCAGCTCTAAAAGACATAGGTTTCCAGATACTGTCCGCTCATGAAGCCGAGTACATGATGTTCCATAAAGGTACCCTAAATCCCATGGGTGGAAATGTAAGTAGGCCTATCGTTATTTGATTACATTTTGACATTATTGATATAATTCCTGTCTGAGTCATTTGTTGTACATTGGCAGTTTAATGATGTGATCAATATGCTGAGACTTGATGGAGAACTGTCTTTTCTCTATGACAACATGACGGGACTGCTCAACTCGGGAATTCCAGTGGAAACCCAGATGGAAGAATTCCAACCAGGACAAGTAGAGGTGGGTCTAGAATTTAATAAGTAGAGGTGGATCTAGGACTCTAGGATTTAACATGTAGAGGTGGGTCTAGGATTTAACAAGTAGATGTGGGTCTAGTATTTAACAAGTAGAGGTGGGTCTAGGGCAGAATCAATTCCTCCAGGAGAGGTGGGTCTAGATTTTAACATGTAGAGGTGGGTCTAGGATTTAAGATGTAGAGGTGGGTCTAGAATTTAATAAGTAGAGGTGGGTCAGGGGCTGAATCATTTTCTTCAGGAGAGGTGGGTGAAAAAATTAACAAGTAGAGGTGGGTCTAGAATTCCAGTGGAAACCCAGATGGAAGAATTCCAACCAGGACAAGTAGAGGTGGGTCAATTCCTCCAGGAGAGGTGGGTCTAGGATTTAACAAGTAGAGGTGGGTCTAGAATTTAACAAGTAGAGGTGGGTCAGGGGCTGAATCAATTCCTCCAGGAGAGGTGGGTCTAGGATTTAACAAGTAGAGGTGGGTCGAGGATTTAACAAGTAGAGGTGGGTCTAGGATTTAACAAGTAGAGGTGGGTCTAGGATTTAACAAGTAGAGGTGGGTCTAGGATTTAACAAGTAGAGGTGGGTCTAGGATTTAACAAGTAGAGGTAGGTTTAGGATTTAACAAGTAGAGGTGGGTCTAGGATTTAACAAGTAGAGGTGGGTCTAGGATTTAACAAGTAGAGGTAGGTTTAGGATTTAACATGTAGAGGTGGGTCTAGGATTTAACAAGTAGAGGTGGGTTTAGGATTTAACAAGTAGAGGTAGGTTTAGGATTTAACATGTAGAGGTGGGTCTAGGATTTAACAAGTAGAGGTAGGTTTAGGATTTAACATGTAGAGGTGGGTCTAGGATTTAACAAGTAGAGGTGGGTTTAGGATTTAACAAGTAGAGGTAGGTTTAGGATTTAACAAGTAGAGGTGGGTCTAGGATTTAACAAGTAGAGGTAGGTTTAGGATTTAACATGTAGAGGTGGGTCTAGGATTTAACAAGTAGAGGTGGGTTTAGGATTTAACAAGTAGAGGTAGGTTTAGGATTTAACAAGTAGAGGTGGGTTTAGGATTTAACAAGTAGAGGTAGGTTTAGGATTTAACAAGTAGAGGTGGGATTTAATTAGTTTTTTTCTTAATTACTCTTCAAAAGTCTTCGGTTTTATCTTTGTATAGAATCAACACTACTTTAAAAAGATATAACAAATTTTATAACTTTTTCAGTTATCTCAAAGATTAGTCAGATAAGAACTATAGAAAATAAATAAAATTTGAAGAATTGTACCTTGACCCACTCTGCTGGTACTTTGCGCTTGTTGAAACAGATCTAGATCTATATAAAATATGAACTTTAATTCACTGACCATACATCAATCAGTAACGGGTTGTTTTTAATATTTTTATTTAGTACTCCCTGCAGCCTCAGTATGGCATCAAGATGGCCGACTGTGTCCACAGGTTGCGTTATGTAGCTAAAGCGGTGGCACAGACTGGTGGATTTGATGCTATATTTATGACCAGACCTAAAGCAGAAAACCAGAGCAATGGATATCATTTGAACCACTCACTCTGGACCTTGGATGGGAAGTAAGTATATTAATAACATAATATGTTGTCAAAGGGGGGCCAGCATGGCCTAGAGAACTCGACTTCTAACCCGAAAGTCTCGAGTTCGAATTCGGTTTCAAATCAGTAAAGCGTCTGTGAGTCCACATAGCTCTGATGAGTACCTAACATAAGGGAAACTAAGACAGCTGGGCAAAGTGGTGAACACATTGCCCCCTTGTAAGCCAAGGTAATTGAAACATATGAACTCTACTTAATCTGCTTCATGTGTCTTGGGCAAAAACAGGAAAAGATGTTGACGATGTTGACACTGTTTCCAGTTTTTAACTCTGAACGCATCTGTACATATGTGATGGTGTATTGGATGGCAGAGTGCATGCTTGGTAACTTGTAAGAAAAAACCAAGATGGCTGGGCATAGCACAGACTATCCCTTCAAATGCTGAGGTCTATGAAACACATGAACGCTACTTCATTTGCACCTTAATGTCTAGGTTAATAACAAGATGTTAATGATGAATATCTATCAATGGTTGTGGCAACAAGTTTTGATAACACTAACACTTTATTACCATTCAACAAATGTATGTGTATTCCACTGTTACTACTAAAATAATATGTACCAAAGCAATGATCTATCATTTACTTAACTAGTTTGTATTTATATCAACAGAAATGCTTTCTATGACCCAAATGGTGACCACAAATGTTCAGATATTTTGCGACACTGGGTGGCAGGACTGATCCTTCATGCCAACGCCCTACTTGCACTGTTTAACCCCACCCTCAACTGTTATGAAAGACTGCATGGATTTTTTTCTCCCAGTGATAATGTATGGAACTACGATGACAGGTTTCTACTTTTAGTTGTAAATAGTTAATTAATAAGTTATGTCAAAGATTGTTTTATTTTTACAGGTTTTAAATTAGATTCAACAATTTGCTCCTCTGTAAAACATGTAAATTACATAGATTATAGAATGATCTAAGGGAAGGATATAAAATAAACTGTGGAAAGAAATTTTAGACCTTGAGCTATAAAATGAATTGCATATTTATATTTATATTGCTTATGATATTTTATATAGATGACACTGCACATTAATTTGTGTAGATTCAGTTCTGCAGGTGCACATGGAGACTTAGTTCCCACCCCTCCAGAATATTTATAGTTTTTGGGATTGGCTTGATACATTTCTACATTGTAGGCCAATAAATAAATATATATATATATATATATATATATATATATATATATATATATATATATATATATATATATATATATATATATATACACATATATATATATATACACATATATATATATATACATATATATATATATATATATATATATATATATATATATATATATATATATATATATATATATATATATATATATATATATATATATACATACATACATACATACATACATACATACATACATATGTATGTATATATATATATATATATATATATACATACATACATACATACATACATACATACATATGTATGTATATATATATATATATATATATATATATATATATATATATATATATATATATATATATATATATATATATATATATATATATATATATATACATACATACATACATACATACGTATGTATATATATATATATATATATATATATAACTGCCCCCTCCTCTCTCCCAGAAAAAACTGAAAGGCTAGACAGGCTTATCCGCTACTAACTAACCTGGATAGGTTTATTAAGACTGTTTTTAACTTTTTTAATTAAAAAAAGCCATGGGTGTTTTGTAATTCACTTGGATTATTGTTGTAGCATATTCGTAGTTAAAAATTGTTTGTCACAGGAATGCAAGGTTGAGAGTAAAGACGAAAGGCAAAAATATTCATATAGAGGATAGATCTCCATCCTCAGCTAGCAACCCATACCTAGTTATAGCTGGTCTCATAGCTGCAGGAATGGATGGTATTGTCAACAAGTTGGAATGTCCACCTCCTGTAGAATTCAGGTCAGTCGAAATAATTTTTAGACAATTGGATGCAGTAAAATAATATGCTTAATCAAATGAGTTTTAAAATGAAGTAATCACTACTTAAGTGAAGTTTTAAACTAAAATCTAAAAACAAAATTTAATAAAAATCTATCCTCCCCTGTAAGAACTAACAGTAATAACATAATCTGTAACTGAACCAGAAATTTTCCCTGACAAGAGATGTTTGTTTTGATAAATCACTTTCTATTGGGAGTTGAAATAGAATGTATCAATAGTCAGCGCAAAAAAAAAAAAAAAAAAAAATATTATGGCCAACAAGAATTAGATAAAAATGTAGCTTTAGGGAATTATGGGTGTCTTAAAAAGTAATAGTTTCTTCCTATGCATGATTATCTCATCCCATTCCTTACTTTTAAATTAATAGAATTTCAAAACTGGATTAAAAATAAAAATCTATTCATTGCTGTAATAGGGCTGTCAAAATGTATGACTTTTGATACGTAGTAAGTACACATTAGAATAAAAAAAAATTGTTTTTCTATTCACCAGACCTCTTATGAGCGGGGATGAAAGAGCCAAAACAAAAAATCCACTAGCTAAGACGATGGACGAAGCATTGCAAGCTTTAGGAGAAAACACAGTACTGAAGAGAGCACTCGGGGAGGACTTCGTCAATGATTATATAGCACTGTGTAAGGAATTTCAAATAGACAAACTGAAGGAGTTTTCTGACAAGGAGCCAAGCATCAGATTTGAAGCAGCTAGAAAACTGTTTCTCTACAACCTTTAAAGACAGCTCAGAGTGAACTGGGCTTTTGAAAGTAGTGTGCATAATGTTATTTTTTATATTAAGTTTTGTTTTTTTGACAAATATACTATAGGCCGACATGTAACATTTGCTAATAAACCCACTTTACAAATAAACAGAAATCTAAAGAGTTCTTTTTTTTTTATTTCTATTTTACTGCATCAAATTTATATCCTTTAGATTTTTTACAGGTGGTTTTTTGTTGGAGGTGTAAAAAAAAAAATCTTACTTTTTGTTGATTTTTTTTCTACTCTCTTCTATCCCACCCATTAAATAAAAATACACTTCAGTCTTCACCCCACCAAATAGTAATTCTTCTTGTTTTAAGGTATTTAAATTTTGCTAATAAACCCACTTTACAAATAAACAGAAATCAAAAGAGTTCTTTTTTTTTTAATTTCTATTTTACTGCATCAAATTTATAGATCTATCCTTTAGATTTTTTTACAGGTGGTTTTTTGTTGGAGGTGTAAAAAAAAATCTTACTTTTTTTTATTTATTTTTTTCTACTCTCTTCTATCCCACCCGTTAAATGAAAATACACTTCAGTCTTCACCACACCAAATAGTAATTTTTCTTGTTTTTAGGTATTTAAATTTTATAATTCTAAAAAAATGTCTAGATGCTTCCTTTAAATAAAGGGATATAACCGAATAAATAAATAAAATAGTGAGGAGCAAGCTGGGTTAATAAAGTTAATTTGTCGAAATACACGGTATTCAATATGGGGGGGGGGGGGGGGGGGGGGGGGGGGGGAATTCAACAAATGATGTTACGCTTTTTTGACGATTGATTCCCCGCAAAATGACGTCACAACTCAGCTTATAACCATTTCAAAAACGCAAAATAACTGCTAAAATTCAGTTTTTAAACATTACTTTTTTTTAAATTCCAAAGTTTGACGACCGCACTATTGACCTCCACCCCCCCCCCTACACCACACACACACATCGTCACAAAATTTATAAACTCCCCGTGAGTGTGATGTCATTTATCAAAATTTTAGAAACCCATGTTTGTTAAATGTCAGTGAGGGTAATGATTAATGCAACGATCAGAGTAACGGTTTTCGTTGCAATATCAGCATGAAAAAAAAAAAAACACATCTTACATACAGCCGTGTGGTTTGTACAGTGATGAAAGAGGCGACATTGCTTGGGATTAATTTAAACCTAAATGCATTAAACAGGGTATTGATTATAATTTTACTACCATAAAACGGCGTTGTTTAAAGATGTGCATCAATCTGTTATATGACGCAGTGGCGTAGGCAGGGGGGGTCATAACCCCCCCCCCCCATAGACCCCTCGGTATATATATATATATATATATATATATATATATATATATATATATATATATATATATATATATATATATATATATATATATATATATATATATATATAAAGTATAAGGGGGATGCAAATCGAAAGTTTGAGGGGGGTGCAAATCAAAAGTCTGAGCGGGGGGGGGGGGGTGCAAATCGAAATTTTGTCCCCGGGTAAAAATTGGACCCCCCGCCCTTGAGACGATCCTGGCTACGCCACTGATATGACGTATAGATATATGGGAAAACTTTAGCATGTTGAGCGTGTCGGTGTGGGGACGAGTGACTGGGTGTGGATCGTGGGGCTAATGTGGTGAGCTTTAGGTTACGCTATGTGGTGTAGTGTGCTTATATGTCGTGTTGGTAAGGTGGAAGGTGGAATTTTGGCGGGGGTGGAATGGATGGTGTGGGGTTTGGTTTGGGAATCATGGTGTCGTGTGTGTTGTTGTGCGTTTTTTTTATGTCCCTGTAAATCTTTGTAATACATAATTTTTTAAATAAATATTTATTTCACGTGAATTTCAAAAGTACTTTTGTTTTATGTTCAGTATAATTTTCTTTAACAACGCAGAGAAGCACGAGTATGCAGCTAGTAGAAATATCTACTTTCACCAGTGTTTCATGTGCCCCTCATACCCCCCCCCCCCCCCCCATCCAAAAGAAAAAGTCTTAAAGAAACACCGGTTAGTAGTTTTTTTAAATTTATTTTTAAGATTCATAAAGCTCTTAATTCCAAAAGAAAATTTCACACGAAAAGCTTTATTTTATTTATGGCGGTTGTCGTCAGCTAGACTACTCAATATATGTCTATTTTTAAAAATAAAAGCAAGATGGCAGCCCCCACCGTGGAGTATTTTAACGAACTTTGTAAAAAGAATTTAAAGACTTCTAAAAAGGCAGGTTTTTATTTTCAAACTTATTGTACCCCTAGATTGTAGGTCTATGATATAGACTTAATAGGCTAGAATTTTTAAAATATGAATTTTAATAAACACTGCGTTGACTTTTGGACCAAAAGTTTTGGTTTTTCATTCAAGCAGCAGATGCGAGTGTAACTGTCTGTCAACTGATGTCCTGTGATGTAACAGACGTGTCTGATGTGTGTAGTGTAGAGTCTAGAATTGTAGAGTAGATGAAGATTTGTTAGTTGATGAAGGGGGGATTTTGGTAAAACCTTAGTTTAGCGTCGGAAATTATCGGGTAATGTTTGTTGAGTTTCGGTAACTAGAGTTACGGTAAACCATGGTTTATTTGACCAATGAAATATAAATAAATTGAAAGTCGATTGTAGTAAATTAATGTTTTAATTTTTTAAGTTTAATCGACAAAAGGAAACAAAAATAAATATAATAGTAGATTTAAAATAGTAGATCTAAAAATAAACAAGTTAATTAAAAAAGTCTAGTGACATTTGTGCGCAATTTCCTTATGTTATCTAAAAATAGCTGTGACGTATAATGTTGGGGTGCGTTCAAGCTAGAAGAACAATCGGTTTGTAGGTGTTTATGTAATTTTATAATTTGTGACCGAACGAGAGGATATTTTTGAAAACTTTCTTCGGCAATATTGTTCTAAATTATGACAGAAATCGATTGGTACATGTTTCAAGTCGCTAAGTGGCCTGGTTGCCGAGATATGGGCCAAAAACTGATTTTTTTCGAGGTTTTTTGGCTTTTCCGGGAAATACATGAAAGAAACCCGGAATTTTTATGGCCTATGCTCATTCTTGTAACTTGCTTAACATAATTGCTTTTGGAACTAGTCATCGATATTGCTTCGTTGAGGAGGAGATACGACTTAAAGCCCGGACACACATTCATCCATCCATCCATTCCCAGAAATGACGAGTTAATAAACGCAATTCTCCAGAATGGAAATTGCGCTAAAAAAAAAAAAAACAACATATTAATATAAATAATGAATATGAACTTATGAAGTCAAATGTAATAATTTAATGTTTTTGGCTTGCAGTGGATTTCGACCATTAATTAATAATTAATTAGATCTAGATAGATATCTAGCTGCTAGGCCAAGTAAAAAAATCTAGATTACGAAAATAGTAAAAATGATTACAAAATGTAAAAATGATTACAAAAATAAATCTATCCAAATTTTAAACATTCTGTATAAAAATAAAAGATGACGCCAAAATAAAGTATGGTTTACAGTACTTCCGGTGAATTCCGGAAGTGTGTGACAGACTTTGGCATTGTTTTACTGTTTTTTACTGCTATACGATTCCGGAATAATAACCGACGCTAAACTAAGGTTTTACCGTGATTTTTATACCAGTGTCTGATAATAGTATCTTCGGTGGAATTTTTATATAGATCTAGCAGGTGTCCGATAATTTCGGACAAAAATCGAATCTTCTTTAAAAAGGGTTTTTTTTTTAGGTCACTCCGGTTAGGCCTACTGGACTACTGGTAGTTATTAGTTAACTAATATTATAATATTTATTAGGCCTAGGGTAAAACTCCATTTTAATTATTGTTATCCTGTGAGCACTATGGGTGTCTGATTGCTTTTGCGTTGTGTTTTTGTTTAGGCCTATAGATCTAGATCTAGTTAGAAATTAGGGTTAGGACGTATGGTAGGACTAGGGTTAGGGACAGGGTTAGCATGACATTAGCCAGCAATGTGTGTATTTAGTTAACTACCAGTAACTTAACAGCATTAACAGTAACACCCCTTTTTTTTTAAAGAAGATTCTAGATTCTAGACACTGGTAAGCCTATAAAAATTCCCCCTCATCAGTATTAGCCTACTATTTTGCGTTTTGAATTTTGAGATGTGTTTAAACTAGTATAAGTATAGCTGAGGTGTGACGTCATTTAGGTGGGGGGTGTCTGGCTTTTTGTGACAATGTGTGATGGCGGGAAGGGATCTATCGTCAAAAAAGCGTAACATTTATCTAACCCGATATTGATTATAGACTATCATTTATAGTCGACTCAGTGTAAGTGAAGTCACTGAAGTTTGATAGTAGTAACATGGTACTGATGAGCCATCTTAATAAATTTAACAATATATGTGTCACATATAACAAAATATTAGATCTAGGCCTAAAAAGGTTTTAATTTTTAGTTTGTAAATGTAATTTTTTTTTGTCTTTACCAGGCTGTAACTCTGGACATAGGTGGAGGGAAAAAAATATCCGGAGTTTCGTGTATTGCAAAATATCTACAACGATCTCTTGATGATTTTAAAGGTAACTTTATTCACTAACCTTCAATAAGGCTACAATGATATAGTTATCATTATTAGCTAGAAAATGCTAACATAATTAATTTCTTTTTGATCATTTGTAACAGTTGTTTGAGGTGAAATAATTTTTTAAATAGATTATTTAAACTATTGTCCAACACTTTTTATGAACATTTTCTTGCATTCATTTGTATTCACAAATAAAAAGTGGTACAGTGTAGATAACTATTAACATTTTTGACTTAATCTTTTTTTAACAGCTATAGGCCTAAATAGGCCTACTTGAATTTGCTATTGTAGTTTAGTTGTATTTTCTATAATAAAAATATATTTTTTACATTGCAGGTTTGTCTTTAGAGGATCGTATGGCAGTAGAGCAGTGGCTGGAATATAACAACACCATTCAAAATTCTTCTCAAGATGCTGAAACACAAAAGCTTATACTCAAGGTATTCTATTTATATTATCACTAAATTACATACAGAAATATTTATTTGTGAGTAATATAACATTTTACATTTTGTTTGTTCAAGAGCTAATCTCTTATTTAAAAAAATGAAGTGTACTTGTTATACCAAACAAGGTTTTTATGCAGTTAATAGAAGTTAAAACTTATTTAATTGAGGTTAATAGCTGAATTCTTTTTTTGAAAGTTGAAGTATCACCAAGTTTACTTTATATAACATTTGATTTTTTTTAGGAGCCTAATACTTATTTGAAAGAAGTATCATATAGTGTAGTGTAGCCTACTTTATTTGACCTTCTTTTGTTTAGGAGCTGAATACTTATTTGAAAATCAAATAATGATAAAGTGTACTTTACTGAATATAACATTTGACTATTTTTTTGTTCAGGAGCTGAATACTTATTTGAAAGATAAAGTGTACTTTGTAGCCCAGCAATTAACATTGGCTGACATTCTATTGTATCACAATCTCCATGACTTAATTGTAAGAATTCATTTGGTTTGATTCATTTGACTGAATCCATTTTTGTTATTTTTAGTGATTTTTAGAATGTTTACAGACAAGATTAAATACAATTTATAAAGATTAACAAATGTTTTATCATAAAATATGGCATCGTCAAGTAAATATTTACTATTCTAACAATTCTTATAAAAACTTGAATATTTTTACCATAGAGCAATCTTTCTATATACTATTTTGGATTGTTGGTAAACAAAATATAATTTCTCCTTTGCTCCTCAGAAAAAACTATCATTCCAAGAGAAAGAAAAATACATTAATGTTTCAAGATGGTTTAACAATGTAAGTAGTTTTAACTAGATCAGGGTTATACTACATTTGATTACAATATAACCAGTTTTGCTTGAATAGTACCATTGATGACATATATGTGAAATAGGTTTTCAGAGATCTTTGGCTTCTGATCCAATGCAATCATGTTTAACATTTTTCTGCTGCATGATTATATTATTCAAAATTTTAAAATGCTTACAACTATTTAATACTTAGACATAAAAATTATTCAATAATAATTCAATAATTTACTAAACAGCATGCTATTTAAATTTCTATATGACTAGTATTGTATAACTCAGAGTTGACAACCAATTACTATTATATGAAGTTGTGTCATAATATGAAGTTGTCTCATTACTTTGAATCCAGTATTTGCCAGATTATTTTAATCTGTTGTCAACTTACGCTAAAGCCAGCTAATATTTTTAAAATCTACTTCAGCTTTTAATTTTTATATGAAAAGTTAGAATACTGTTATGATTCAAGATTGAATATTTTTCCCATCAGGTTCAACAAGAGAAGAAATCAAGGCAGTCTTTGTCACAGTTGATATTTCTAAGAACTCCTGTGTACGATGGCTTCAGTGGACACTAGCATGTTGGATCTATCCTACTAACTGCTGTTTCTTCTTTGTAAAAATAAGTTAGTGAAGAATTTGTTTGGACCTTGTGCCATCATATGAATTGGATTTCATGTTTTAACCTTTAATCAAATATAGGAATAGGAAATAATGGTTTTAATGTAAGCATGAAATATTCTGAAAAATATATATATCATTTTTCTAGAACTAGACTGTTTTAACTCCAATTTTCAAAAATGTTCTAAACAAGGTTTAAAAGTTTTTCTTAACATTTCTATTTTAAAGACTTGCTGAAATTAAAGTGTAGTGTAGTAATGGTTAGAGATATGGCCAAAAAATATGTTTTGTCTTGGTGTATTTAGAACACAAAATGTATAACTCTTAAAAAAATAAGTTAAAACACGTTGGTTCTAATAAAGCGATATGAAATTTGCAGAACATAAGTTTTAACAAGTTTAAATTTCAAGCAATGCACATTTAATTCAGTATTATTTATTAATTACAGAATGCATGTAAATATTGTTCAACAACTTCTAGTACAAAACTGGCCCAAACTAAGATTCATTTTAACATTCATAATACAAATTTAGGATGTCTAAAAGTTGTTATTGTTTATTTCTGTAGATGTGAATCTTATCAGTCTGTGTTTGTTTTTCAATGATATTTTAACATTTGTTGAGAAATAGGTTTTAACACCATTGATGATCTTATTTATTAGGAAAATATTCATTAAATGATTTAATACATGTAATCTAATTGCTATTGTCTTTATTTGATTGTGAGGAAGTATGCTCAATTAAAATAAGAAAGTTTCTTTTATATCTCACCCAACAGATTAAACATTCAAGGGATGTGACTATGATATATATATATATATATATATATATATATATATATATATATATATATATATATATATATATATATATATATATATATATATATATATATATATATATATATATATATATATATATATATATATATATATACAAGGGACGTAACAATAACTAACAAATAATGTAATTAAACATCCTTAGTAACATCGCATCTTTAAAAAATTAGAGACTTTGAATTAGAAGAAAGAAGACTGTATAGATGCTATATGTGTGTGAGAGATTCTCATAACTGGTACCTCTCATTTCTTGCCAAAGAAATTTACAGAAAAATGATTTCTTCTATGGTAATAAAAAATGGAATCGTAAACAAATTTCTTTCGATAATAAATTTGTTTTTGATGTGTACAGAAATTGTTCTCTACGTACACTAAAGACAAAGTACTAGTTAGATTTGTGCCCAACAAGAGCAATATAAATACATTCTCAAACAAACAAATTAATATTCATTATCTAAAATTACAAATAATTAACAGTTTTAAGTAAGTGGAATCTCAAATACTTGTTTTTCATTGGCAAAAAAACTTCTTAGTATTCAATTTTAACATTCAAAAATGAAATAATCTTAATATACACAAGTTACCATGAGATTAGGGTATCAGTTTATCTATTCACATCATCTTGTACCTTAATTTTTATATAATGCATTCTTGGTTTATCTGTATTGAAAGACAATTTTGAGTTCTCTCTGTACTTCTTGTGTTGGAAATCACTGTACACGTCATGATCCAGGGCTTTGAACACTTTAAAGTTCCCCTGTTCTTTTATTTCCTCGCCATTCTCCTCAGCCATGTTGTGGCTGTGAGCTGGGGGCTCTGATGCCTGAGAGGAAAACCCCATGTACAACGGCTCAGCTGTCCCTCCACCATCAGTGTTATCATTAGAGCCAGGGGGTGTTTCTGGTGCTGATTTTACTGGCTCCTGACGTGTCTCGTCTGATGTTGGTTTGTCCTGTCTGGGCCACAGTGACTTTCTGTTGACGGTGTTGAATTTAGATGTATCTAAGAATTCATCAGGTTTTTCGTTGTTGTCGACTTTATAACCTCTGTTTCCGTTGAATCGAGAGACAACTTTTCTATTGTTTAACAAAAGGTTTGGTTTGTGTGTAGAATTGCCCACAATTTGATTCTCATTGACGTGTTTTTGTTGTGGATATTTAGGACTGTGTTTGGAGTTAGGTTGTGTACTAGCATCCACACGCGTGCTGTCAGTGCTGTTGAAGCTGTAACTGTCACAAAGTGAGAATGTTTCAACTGGCATCTGATTGGCTGGGAAAGACGGAAGTGATTGTCCCACAAGAGAAAACTCCTCGTTGGCGTTCTCCGACTTTTGTTCCTGTGATGTAGGCGACGGAGTTCTGAAGAGACGCCTGTTATTTTTTTCCCTGTGTGTTTTGGCTCCTGGAATCTTTTTTCTTTTAAAGACCGGCGCTGTGTCTTGTTGATTCTGTGAGGACGACGGAAGCGCCAAATGCCGAATGTCCAGCAGTTCTGCTGGGAGAGACTGCTGGCGAGATTTGCCAACAACCTCTTCATGTCTATAACGCTCTACATCAGCGTTACTTACCCCTCTAGGTGTCTGCCGCAGTCCGTATGAATAAAAAGTCTTACGCACGTTGAGTTTTAGATCCGCGTCCGAAATGTTCAAATCGATCGGAGTTAGGCTCGTGATTTTTAAACCTTCGCCTAATTCATACACATTTCTATTCTTAATCTCGTAGTTCACAGGTGTCATTTCAGGGGTGTCCGTGTTAGAATTTCCGTAAGAAATATCACAGGATTCATTCATGGTTGACACAGAGCTATTTACCAATCCCCTCTTCTTGAAGGAATTGGTAGCGTGGAACATATCCTTGTTCGGGGCTAGCATCGTAACAGGCGCTGCTCCTTTAAGAACGTAGGAAGTTATCGGTTCGTGAATGTCTACTGCGTCACACTTAGAAATTTCGGATAGCTTTTTCGTCTTTTTAATTTTTTTCCCGTGAAGTTTTTCTGGAGTTTTAACTGAATTTTCGTCGAGTGAGTTCATTGATGGCTGGGTCAAGCTAGGCGAGTCGTCGGCGTGGAGGCTACTGCCAGAACTGTTTTCTCCCGGGGTCAAATCTTGGCACGATACACGGCTAGAGACACTCAGGGCGTCTGGGGAGCGCTGGTTCACTGGTGTGGTGTGGAGGAGGTAGGAAGATACTGAGAGATCGCTGAGTTTGGTGCGCAGGTCATGTGACCTCACCACCCGAGAACGTTGACCTCTGCTTGAGTTATTTCCTTTCCTATTCCCGGCTGTAGAATCTGGTGCTGATAGTGATGGCAGTTTTGTGTCCCCGTGCGGTTTGCCTCGTGATGAGTTGTTAGCTAAACTCGTGTTCTGAGACCGGTTTTGACGACTCGCTTCCGGCTCACCAAAAGTCCTAGCCCTTGTTACAGTTTTTGACCTCTCGCTCGTCAGACTTTGACCCGCGCTGGGCGATGTTGCCGTGTTGGGTGGCACAGGCGGCACGAACGGCAATGCCGAGTTTCCGGTTTGAAGATACGGCAACATCCCAGTTCCGGGCGGTGTATCCGATACTTGAAACAGATCCAGTTTACTTGCAGCTTTGGTCACTTCATGTCCAAGTAAATTCGCACCGATAATCCCAGCGGAATGCCCATCCTCAATACGACCAACAGCAGCCACCACATTCGCTACAGCGGCCTGTCTTAAAGTCTCCCTCATGTCCGACATTGGTTCTGCCTGTGTTTGCAGATCACCAAGCGTGTGAGACCTGGCTAAGAAGTAAAACGTCTCCCGGAGCTGTAGCGTCTTGAGATCGCATGCCAGATCTCTACTATCTCTGTCATCGAAGTGGACCGACTCTCCTTTAACTAACCCCAAGGGGCGGGGCTTCCTAACGCCGAATTTTACTCGACTCATTTTCTTCTTTATAAATCGTTGAATAGCGGATACTGTCGCGCAATTAGAACAGATTTATACTGATAGATCGATCTCCGAATGTTTTCGCCTGCGGTGTAGCCTTGGACAATGAAAGGGGTGAATGTATGCTGATTTTAGAGAAACTACGGCGAGGTAATATTGGACAAAATCGTAGCGGGGGACATAGAAGTGAAGAGACACTTTGAAGTAATGAATAGATCGTTTGTTGCTGCGGCGGACGGTAGTGAAAGACAAAGTTTAATGCTACCACGGGTTTCTAAATGGTTTCGTTCGTTCGGTACATCAAATCATACAAGTAGTATAACGGTTGGGGTTTGAGAGCAGTCGTCAAAACGTAACAAAAAATCAACCAGAGCTTTAAGACGTTTGAGAGAGGGGCAAAAAATGAGATTTTTTTGTGTTATTCGAGATTGTCAAAAATTAAGATTTACGGACAAGTATTTCTTCTTAATGATTTTTTTAAAATATCTCAAGTGGAGGAAAATAGGTTATAAGTTCAATAAGTGTAATTATTTTTAAAAAAAAACAACCTTAAACTACAGATTCTATTTGGGCCAAAATAAAAATCTCAACCTTGAGATTCTTCATTAAAAAACATACGCCATGAAGCCTAATCTCATTGGGACTTAGGACATTTTTTTATACGCATGCATCCATCATCATCAAGTCATTAGTGTCCCATGCTCTGGCGACGAGAGGACTAATTAAATCACGTGATCACATGATAATTATATGCAACAACGTATCGACCCGCAGCCAGTAAGTAACTATCGACGATTCCAGTCAGTCGGTCTAACGGTGTTTGATCTCATTCAGTTTAAAGGACTACCCGTGAACGTTGGGGGTTGAAATAGAATGTATTTATTCCATTTTGATCTCCATAAATGACACCGCGGGCATGTGTGGATATCTACACCGGAGTTAGGTCAGCGTTTGCTAGTCTTTTCTGCACCTGACACTTCTAATAAATGCACGGGTGTTTTAAAAAACATGCGTACGTCATCAGGCGTAATTATTTCTTCACTTCTCCTCGCATTCTGTAAAATGCGATCTGGCACCCAAGGGGCGTAAGTGCTTTCAAAGCTGATACACTTGTAGATGTCAAACATTACCAGTACTCAGAGCAAACGATCAGATTCTAAGTGCTCCAGTAACTTTCATGAAGGCACAGAGAAACGGTGCCTTGTGTCTGCAGCACATTTTATTCATCACAGGGAGCAGAAATGTATTAGTTGCTTAGTTATTGAATTTTCAGTTCACTCTGGGGATAAAACCATATATATATATATATATATATATATATATATATATATATATATATATATATATATATATATATATACACTTATATATACTTTTTTTTCGAGATTTATACACGGTTTAATTTTAAATCCATTAAAATATCATGGCAAAAAAATGTGTGGCCTTATCTCTTACCACCTTGCCACAACAATTCCTCTACCCCAAGCAGTTGTATAATTATGAAGAAATGTTAAGGGAAAAAAATGTAAAGTCTTGTTGCTATATAATGGCCTATAAATGGAGATATTCTAATATCGCTGCCCATTAAATGTGTATTTTAGCACTCCCCCAACTGTTATCATCTTCGTCTTGGCGTGTGATAGGCCTATAAAAGCGAGTGTTTAGAAAATACGGCTCACACTGCACATGGCATTAACTGGGGTATCTGTGTTTATCGAAACAACGCATTATAAAACTGTGAATCGGTATGGAAAGGTCGA